TAAGTAATTATGCGAATGTTCTTTGAATATTTGTGAACAATCAAACATTTAGAAAAAGAAAAACTGAATTCATTTCAGAAATGAAAAATAATCTCACCGTCAGTATTTTAAGTACCTAAAGACGGTGGGCGTGACAAAGCGACAGAAAAAAGGCACACACCCGTTATTGAAATAAATGGTTCTGTTGGGAACTCCTTGAAAATGAATGGATGTTACATACGCCTTGGAAAGAGTGGAGTACATATCACCCAAAAGGTTGTGAACAAAACAACAAAGATATAGATGGTGGTCTGAATAGCGTATAAAATAACTTTTAACGAGTGTTGTTGATAAGTCGACATTAAATACATTAGTCCGAATAACGTATGGAATAATAACATTTGACCAGAGTTCTTGTCGATAAGTCGACATAAAATACTTGATGATACTTTTATTAAATGCAGAATATAAATATAATGTCAATGTTTTGTAAAGTGCGCCCAAAATGAATGTGGAATATTCAAACTAGACTCATTGCGCCACTGCGAAAGCTCAAAGATATTATACTTTCATATACAGATACCTTTACCGTTCTGTATAACTATTATCACTGCTATTACATCTAAGCCTAAGCGAGTCGCTGCCGAATAATCAATACGATTTTTTTTATTTATTTAGCCTTACTTGGGCAAAAACAAGCTACTCAGGTGCAAACTTGTTTTGCCAAAATCTACCGGGAAATTTAGTGTTGCGTCTGGTGTTGTACGATACGATATAGTGAGTACGACTCATGACTGTGACGAATTGTAATGGCTCGCTTACATAAAATTTCTGGAAGTGGATCATCGTGGGAATTTTTTTTTCCATCTAAAAGCAGTGGAGCGGAATCAAGTACAATCATTAAATAAAAATGAAGTTAAAAAAAAATTAAAAAAAGGTACAGGTATTTAGTTGTTAAGCTTTCATGTGAGAAAAAGTGAACGAGGGCGGATGATTAAGTCAGTAGTCTGACATTTTGAATTATATATATATATATATATTTTATATATATATATATATATATAGTTGAAATATTACATATCTATATATATACATATCTTATAAGTTTAAACTTTATATTTAGTGGATACACGTGTTTGAATATACATCTCTGTTTTTTGCATAAATCTATGCCTACTGGTCTCTGTATTTCGAGTATCTTGATAAAAATGCGTCTTCTGGATATAAATCGGCGTTACTCTTGCGGGGGAAGCAACCACACAGCCTGGTGAGCTTTTGACCGCTCAACAACGTAAGACTTTCAGTTTCAAGCAAAATTCAATGACCCTATTTTAAGGAATGCCCATCAATTTTTAAGATCAAGCTGAGTCCTTATCTGCTAATCTCTTATATTTGTATCCGAAACGTAATTTCAGATGAACGAATGGATTTTATTTATAATCCAACATTATCTTACGTTACTTTAAACGCTATATTTAGTGGAGACACATGTTTGAGTTGTTTTTTTTTAAATAGTATAAATATAAAGTCTATATATGCAAGATGTATAAAGTTTGATTAATATATATATATACTGTGTAACGTTGGGGCCGTCTTATACTCCAGGTATAAAATGTGAACCTTAAATCCTGTGGTTTATGGCAAGTTGTTAGCAATGGAGATTTTTGACGGGAGGCTAACACCTGCCTTGGTAAATATGAACATAACTATTTTCTACTGAAACAACTTAATTCACATTATTATGTTAGTGGGTAATAGTCAGTGTAAAGTGTGGTAGTTAATTGACAATATCTCGCCTCTTTTTTTCGATGATATTGAACAAAAGCACAACTGGATGTGTGTCCCAACAAGCCGTTTAAATATCGCATTCGAGAAGAGTGAAACGAATAGATGGCTAGCAGGGAAAAGTAATTCAGGCCACCGTAGTAGCCTACCAAAAGCACAGCATCCACCCATGTGGTACTGTAGATTGTGGTAGTTAACTGATAATATATATCCACACCGTTTCTTCATTAGAATTTGAGTGAAAAGAAAATATATGCTTACTGAATTTATTCAATAAATTCAATACAGTACATTTGCGGATTGTGAGGGGTCGTGTTTTAACTTGAAAATTTGGGGGTCGTCTTATACACCCAGTCGTCTTGTACACCAGTATATAACGTATCGTATTTGACGACATCTAAGATGAGCATTTCTTTTAAAAACAGCGAATTTTCTAAAAGAATTCCCTGCATCTTCGTCTTATAAGCAAATTTGGGCCTCTTGAAGATTAATTTTATCCTCAAAATTCACAACTAAGCTATAATTTGACTTCAGACTTCTACCTACCAAGATTCCGTAATTTAATTTACGCCAACGAAATTATTATGGATGTTATTATTATTATTATTATTATTATTATTGCTATTATTAATATGTTTTCTCATACAGTATACATTTTTGAATACACCCGGTACTTTACGTTATGTAATAACAAGGATCAAACAGATAAAACTTTCCTCAAAATATGCGCAGTGCTCTAAAAAGTCGATTTTTGGATATCTCCAAGTTGGTGTGGTATCTCAGCTGGTCAAGAAAGTTACACAGTTTTAATGGGATTGATTCCAATACGACAATCCCCACTGGAATCACCCCAATTGCTACTACTGTTATTATTATCATTATCATTATTATTATTAGAACTAACATTTCTGCTTTACATATAGGGAGTTCAAAAACTTTGACAAAGTTCTTTGAGTTGTGAGGCGTGGTTCAGAGACAAATGTTTGACAATAATCTTGGTCATATGAGATTGATGGTTCAGACACAGAGGTTTCATTGTTTTTCCCGTCATCTGGCTCAAATTTATACGATTCCGGTATTTCTAGGACTGGTATGTCTTTATTATGGGGGATAGGACTCAAAGCTGATTGAATGTTTGGATATTGTACTTTGCATTTCTTATTCTTTGACAGTCAGTCAGTTAGTTAGACACCATGCAGAAGTAGCAATCAGTGGCACGATCGGTTGGCTCTCCTTAAAACATGTACACTGCAAAAGGTATAGATCTTTTCTTCCTAGTTAGCCATTGACCCGGATTTGTTACACAGGTTTTACAGCATATGTGTGGTGCCCACTTCTTGTCTTGTTCTCCATTTTTTCATCCAAAATATAGCTGGTAAGCTTTTCTCACAACAGGTGTTATATTTCGCTTTTGAAAAGTAAAAATCACTTCGCCACACACATCCCAGAAGTTATCCAGACATTTAGACATAGTGCCTTTATACACATATTCACGGGGCATTTTCAGCGGTTTGTTAGACATAGTCAATAGAAATTCCGATCTTGAGGCATGATGTCATTAAGATTCCTCACAAATCAAGAACGATTGCTTCTGTAATGAATGAATCTGCGTTCAATTAAAATAACTAAAACAATGAGCTTTAATTTTCGTCTGTATCTCTCAGATGACGAGTTATCATCATTTACATTATTTACATTCAGACTAATATTGCCATCTTGAAAAACTGTTTTAGGAGAAATATTTTATAAATTTCAAACTATATTAACGCTAATTGCTCGGTCAGTGAATGCCGAATATTCCCTGTATGGAAACGATTAATATCACAATTACAACAACCATTTTCACCATTCGATGAATTCAAATCATTATCCTCGTCGTCGATATTACTATTTAGAATATTTCTTGCGTCAGCAGTCAAGAGTTTTGAAACCAGGAAAAGGGATATGTGGCCTTCATAATAAATTATACATAACATGCTAGTAGTAATATCTTTGAGTTAATGCCAGCTGCAGCGCAAGCAGGTAGGATATCCACTCTGGAAGGCCCATCAGTGAAGCTATTTTTTTTCTAAGCAGTTCTCGTTTGCCAATTGAAACTCGGCAATACTTTACTAGAGTATGATACTCTTTCCATCCTTTTCGACAACCGGCGCCTGCTCCCTTGTCGGTGTCGCGCCATTTTTAACCTAAACTTCCACCTACAAACATTGCTCGAAATAGATCGTAAGATTTGCGTTCAGCACATGTTCCCTCTTGCTCTGCTCTGTTCGGCACGAGAAAAATGCAGTACAATGTTTTAGTATCTCTTTCTCTCTGTAATTTCTTTTCCTTTTTTTTTATACCACTCTTTCTCTCTGTAATTTCTTTTCCCTTTTTTTTATACCACTCTTTCTCTTTACTGTCTTTGCTCTTCCTATACTTAAGGCTCCAAACCTTTTTCTTTCTTTTCTCTTGTTAAGTTCTCTCAGAGCTTTTCTTTCAGAAAATATCACGTTTATTTTTTTAGTTTTTCTCTGTGTTTTTATTCCTACATTTTTCCATTTCCCTGAAGCAGACGATAAACATATGTCAGCGTTATCATCTCTTCTTTCTTTCTTTCTTTCTTTCTTTCTTTCTTTCGCTGAAACGAAACAGCGTTTCTAACGTCTTTGTGCCTTATCTCGCGATCAAAAGGGAATAGCCAATTATTTATGAGGTATTGACTGCGCGTATCGTACCTGCTAATTAACTAAATAACCAACTAAGGAACAAAACAACAAGAAATATTATATGATTTTTCTTTATCTACATTTTTTCTTTTTCTTGTGGCCCTTATGATTTTATTTTTGTGAAATTCTTTGTATTTGGGATTTTTGTCTAATTAACTCGTTATTTCGAACTTTCGTCCACTTTTACTTTTCTTATTGTCCACGATTTTAGAAATAAAATATCCATTATTAATTATTGGTTTGAGATATAACACATTAATACCTGCCGTTCCAAAAATGGTAGCCATTAATGGATTAAGCACGGAAAGTGTAATGAGAAAAGCCTACCCATGTTTATCTAATAAAGGGATTAGTTTTGGCGATAATAATGATTTACTGATATAAATCCTACTAATTCACCCATAGCAAGGGGGAGAAGGGGTGAATTCATACATTTCCCTAAGACATTTGCGCGTACGGGAATATAAGAAACACGATTGGAATTGGAATTGGACGCCCCGATTTCCAATTCCGAGCCTCATATCCAAGATTACAGCACCTGGTATTCCTAAGCGGTCACTCATCTAGGTATTGACCAGCCTGGACGTTGCTTAACTTCGGTGATCGTACGGGAACCGGTGTTTCAATACGATGTAGCCGTAAGGCACCTGAAGAAGAACAGAACGGCCGAAATGTTGTGAGAATTGTAATAAGTTCACTAGTCCGCATGAAAAGGTAAAAAATGCTGATATATCCCTTCCGTTAAAATAATTACATAATTGTTTTGTCTGTGATTCGTCTAACGATATCATAGCACAACATTCAACAACAGTAAACCAACAACTCTGTAACAGTACAAAATATATATATATATATATATATATATATATATATATATATATATATACATATATGTGTGTGTGTGCAAAGTCTGATTCTCGCCGAATCTGAAATATATATGGGTGTTGTTACTTACTTACCTAAGACGATATCTTAGTTCCCAACCGCTGCACGAGTTACCAAATATCATGCTATCTTAAAAACATAACTGCGTCGTCACGGTCAGATGAATCTCTATCCATTTGGCAGCATACCATCAACATCTTAATCCTGATACACCGGATTTTTTTAATCTATACAAGAAGAGAATCCTAAGAGAACTAGAAGACCTGCCAAGATTTATTAACGGCAGACATAACCTTGCATTTAAAAAAAATAATTTCACCCAAAGGAAGGTGATAATGCCACTAAGACGCAATGGGTTACCGAGAGTGAAAGAGAATGAGAAGAATGGACAATAAAAGAACAGCGTTCAGGAAGAGAGAAAACAGTGATTGGTGTTGAATTAAAATTTTTCAAGAACGTAGATAGCAGAGGATAAATAAACCGAAAGAGAGTTCCACAAGTGAGAAGTGCGAGAGAAGAAACTATTAGAATAGAACTTACGGTTACATCTTGCTATTTCAATAGTAAAACAATTAGGCCTATTTGCCATTCTAGTAGTACGCTTAAATTCATGCTGCAGTAGTACCAAGGAGGAGAGCTCATCAGAACAACTGCCATGAAAATATTTATATTAATCTTAACAAGATACGCAGATGACACAATGTTGATATTGACTGATTGACTGATTCGTTTTTTAAGATTTATCAACTCTTTGCAGGCTATTTAAAGACATAAATCTTTTTTTAGATTGTAAGAATTTATTTTTGAAAAAATAATGTTTGGTGATACAATTCTTACTAATTAACCCATAGCTGGAGGGAGAAGAGATTGATTCATATTTTTCCCAAGGCTATTTGCGCGTAAGTGAATATAACAGACCTAACTGGAATTAGAAGTCGGCTCTCTGATTAACAATTTCGAGCCACTATCCATTACACCACCCGTTGCATCCAAGTTTACCGCACCTGATATTCCCAAGCGGTCACCCATCTATGCAGTGACAAGACTCGATGTTGCTTAACTTAGGTGCTCGTACGGAAACAGGAATCTGTTGATAGCAGACAGAGAACAAAATATAAGAATTCTTAGACAAGGTCATAGTGTAAAGAATGAAGAATCGTCTCTTTACAGAAGACAGAATGTATGGTTGTCAGCAAGAGAACAACTCAATATCTGAGCTATGTATTGAGGACGTCAGGCACAGAAATTCAATTTTCTGGGAGGTGCAGAAGCAGCCGACAGATCACGTGACACAGAAATACGAAGACACACTTGAATAGCGAAAGCTGTCTCCTAGAAACGAAGCAAAGTATTAAGACATAGAAACAAATGAAAGATATGGCAGTGAATGCTGGACAATGTCCTCACAGATGGAGAAAAAAAAATCCAACAACTTTCCTATCAGCAGACCTAGCAATTGCAACAGAAATGTGGTTCTACAGAAAGATGCCAAGAATACCACTGATAGAACATGTGAGCAACACGAAATTTATAATAGGATTAAGATGGAGACTTATATTTACGATCCAAAAGGGGAATTTCTGACACGTATAATGAGAAAAGAGTGTTTGCAGAATCTAAAACTCACGGGTCATGAACGCCAGCAAGGAGAAACATCGTGTAGCCTACTAAACGAATTTGCGTAGGTGAATGGCAGAACAAGGATAAAGAAAAGAGATGAATAGTCAAAAGTTACTTTGAGTACCAAAAGACAGGAAGTTGTAGAAAATCATGGCTGCCTACTTCCTGAAAAGACTTGGCACATCAAAGAACCAGAATCCGGCTAGTGAAAGCATCAGTTAATTATCGTCTATTTCTGCAAATCCACAGTATACATATCTTCATCTTTTAAGTGCAGTATCTCTTCAGGAAGTGAGCGTTCATGGACCTCCACAACTTCCTGTACTTTGTAACTCTTAGCAATGTTTATTCTTTTACTATCCCCTTCTTGTCCTATCATCTATTTACATAACCCGTTAGGTTATTTGCTGTTTATCTCCTTGCAATTTAATGTCCTGTGATTGTCAAATTTTTCAAGTCTTCTTTACTCGTCATGTATCCTATCAATTTAAATTGTCTCTTTCTGATGCTATTATAAACGTATTTTTTGTTTCCACTTTCCTAAAACTTCCTTGTTACTCCCATGCTTCGTCGATAGTATTCTCAGCATCCTTCTGTAGAAGCAGATCTCCGTTGTTTCGTCTCTGCTTCATCTGTGAGAAAAATGAAGAGCATTCATTGCCATATAGAAGAACTTGTTGTGTAAATGGATGATAGGATGGCAAAATATTGAATAGGAAGGATAGTAAGAAAACAAATATTATTAAAGCTGTTATGGTTAGGAAGTTGTGGAGAGTCATGATCGAGACATAAATGAAGAACATATCGATAAAATATAATAATTAAATAATAATATGAATGCAATGTCGTATTCAGCAAGAATAAGACACGAAAAAATTCTGGAACTTGTTTTGTCTGTTCTACTTCAGCCACCATTTTCACCTGATCTGGCTCAAACAGATCTTTTTCGGTGAGGAGATTCAAGACTGCGTCGAAAAGTTTTCACGTCAAAACATGCGCAATTTTATTGTAAAATCATCGAAGAACTGCTTGATAAGTGGCACTCATCGCAAAAGTGGTGAATATATAATTGAATAAAATGTAATTGTACTTTAGTTTTTTAAGAAAAAAAGTCGATAAATATTAACGCATGCTATATTACGGTGGCCTTGTGCCAGACTAATAGAATTTTAGTCAACTAAACAAAAAAAAAAAAAAAGAAAAAAGAAATAAATTTTAAAACTGTCCTTGAAGTTAGTGCTGAGATATGACTTAACATCAGCTGACTGACACACTTGTTGACTGGAGGCAGGGAACCATAACTTTTACACGTCACACACATATCGCCCTTGAAGGGACGGGATATATCACATGGCCTCTCGAAAATCTCGTTTGTAGACGATTAGTTGGGCGAAAAAATGTGCAGCTGTTGACCGTATTTCAAGAAGTAATATTATTATGCGATGTCTGCGTTTTAGTCGAGTCCTTTCATAGTTATTCCACGAAAAAGATAAATGTTGAAATAAATTCTTAATTACATAGCCTTTGTTGAAGTTATAACTTGGAGATACGGTGAATTTTGAAACTGAATAGGTTGAGTTTGCATGGATAAGGGAAGCATCCTATTGGGAGTCGCTTCTACAATGTCATACATATAACAGAAAAGCTATCTGAGTGGATCTTCCGCCTCATCAAGAGAATATGAAGAGAAGAAGGAGGAGTCGACTGCGTATATGTGACATGGAGGAATCAAGCAATGTAGTTCGCCCGGATAATTGTCATGAAAATAGTGATAAGGTATCGAGGTGCTAGTAAAGTTTCTTAAAAAATGAATTTTATTTCTGTAATCAAATTAGTGCAGAAAATTCAGATACAAAGAAATATATCTGCAAAGAAATCATTAATAAAAAAAAACGAGATGAAGAAAACCTTTTAGGTCGATGCATTTCGTTCCTTGTGGAATTTTATAAATGGCAACTCTTAGCGCAGATTTTTCTTGAGGCAGTCGTGGATTGATGAATAGGATTGTACCTATTTGCATATGTTAAGTAGAAGAGATATAAAGTGTATAGCAAAGTAAGAGACAGGTGGAAGTTGACTACTGATCACGTGTCGTAGATTGGTTTGGTTTGGTTTGGTTTGGTTTGGTTTGTTTTACGGCATATAAATCTCATAATGGATTATTTAATGCCGTCAAAATTTTTATTGCTGGTAATATTTTTTTTCAAAATGTATTGCTGGTAATAATGTATTACTGGTAACAATTTTTCCTCTAAAATTTATTGCTGTTAATAATTTTTTACAAGGTATTTCTGGTATTAAAACCTATTTTTACACTTTCATAATGTTTTGATCCCAGATTGGGGGTTAACTATTTACCCATAGATGGGACCCTAACAAGTGTGATACCAGCCCGTGTCAAGGTGGACCTGCTAACACCAGCAATTAAGAGGTGGTTCCACGCTCCTCAAAACCTCCTGATCAGAGGTCCTGTAGTTGGACGTAGTTTATCGTCATGCCCTGGACGGACGTGTCGTAGAACAATACAGCATAATACAACACGATACAACACAACACAATACAATACAACAATATTGCGTCGCCGATAGGATAGTTAAGTCGCTTGGATGAACCAGAATTTGTCGAGACTTGGAACCAATGTTTTGCTACCTAAGCTAGGGCTAAAATATTGAAAGACAAACAGGTAAGAGGGGAAGAAAATGAAAAAAAAAAAAAAAAAACGACAAAAAAACTGAGCTTTTTCTGGCTTCGGCGGGTTGTGAAGCTATAAATTGAAGAATTTGACTTTGGTTGAAATTTTGGAAATTATAAAAAGAAGTATAAGACCTAAAAAGAAACTTGTAACAGCGAAAAAAAAATGTCTATTAGACAGAAACAAGATAAATCAATCATACAATATCGACACAGAAGCTAAGCTCATTTTGAGAATTTGAGAAAGTTGGAACTGAAGATTTTGATTATTGGGGATGAATTGATTCAATTACAGTTGATTGAAAGCGGAAGTTAACTAATAATCACATGTCGTAGAAAAACACAATACAACGGAGAGAATTTGATTTTAAAGTAAAATTTCACTGTTCTCAAATTTTAAACTTGAAATAACGCCCAAAATTGCGAATTTTTAAATCATGACAA